ATTTGCTTTAAAGAAAAACACCTCTCAATTTGTTCCCATTTTGTCTCCTACTCAATCTTTAACCAACTTCAGTTCTATTATATTGGAAACTACAGTAATTATAAGGTTTAATGCTCCCATTATATTTTGAGTTATTTTATTTAATACCTGAATAGGAGTTGAATTCTTTAGAATAACTAAACTTTGCACTTGTAACACTACAGGTGGATTTCTGGAGGAGATGAGTGTTGTATAGGATGACATGTAGTAAGGGCTATTTCACAAATACAAAAAAACCCTCATTCTAAAGTTCAGAATTTTTGAAGGCATGGAGATATCCTTTCCAAAATGCATGACCAAAATAATTATGTCAAAAACAAGCATTTAAGTTCGTTTTCCAGTTAATGGAAAGGGACGCAGCTTTTTTAAAATAGGTTTTATCAAATTTCTAGAAAGGATATTTGGGACCTGAAAATAATAGCACTGTATAGAATATGTTACCAACCCCCTGTAAATATGAACATTTAATTAGTCTGTGGTTCTTGTGTCAATTCATTAAAAAAAAATAATCCTTGTGCACTGCAACATAATCTCAAGGTTAAATTCAAATGAAGTGGAATACTGCCAGGCAGGAAAGTGCATATAGTAACTGCAATTCTTATTAATTCAGTATCTTTAGAACAGCTTTATTTATAACTGAAATAATCCCTCGAACTTTAGGGTTTAAAAAGTTTATTTCAGAGTTTATATGAAAACAAAGTATCTCCACACTGAGGGAATGGATCCCACCTCCTGTACAGTTTAGATCTGTATAGTCTACATGAGGCATCCTATTGTCTAAACTCTTCCATCAAGTTAATCCATAAATTAACAAATACACAACAAGGTATAGTATATTTAGAAAATATAGCAAAACATTCAGCTGGAAAATACGTTCATTTTCTTACAATTTATATTTCTCATTATCATCTTTATATGCTTTTAGTGAAAACCAGATAGAAGGAATGTGGAAGTAGAGATTCTGGATATTACGTGTAGGAGGTAAATGATGACAGAAGAGCAAGGCAGGGAAGGATCAGATAAGGGATTTAGAACAGACACAACATGTCAAACTAACAGTACACCCACACTTATTTCCAGCAGTGAATGGATGTTCAGAAAAAAAACCCCAAACCAAAGAGTTCAGGTACAGAGTGGTGCCATCCACTCTCTGACAGACAGAGATTTCCAAATGCAGGGATTAAATTCAGACCATCAAGTTTAAAAGCCATCAGTAGACCTGACCCACCCACCATGAAGATTTCTAATTCCTAATCTCCTCTGCTTTAGTTTAAATAAATGTCTTGTCAGTCACAGGCCTTTACTTCAGGCCATTTCCACATTTTAGAGAAAAATGTAGCAAATAAAAATTGGTCAAGCTTTACCAAACTTCTACCTACTTCCATAAAAGAACTGATGCCATCGTTCTGCAAATCTTGCCAGGTGTGCTTGTCTTGAAAGGTTTTAAACACTGCCAGGGAGTTCTGTTATTAAACTTATCTTGGAAGCACATTGGGCTAATAGTTTGTATTCACAGAAAAAGTAACATAAATAAGCAAATCTACTCTGTATAGAGATTATGAATCTGTATACTTTTTACTGTCACATTACATCAAGAAAAGTCAGTAGAATTAAAGAAAGAAAACACCAAGCCCTGTGTAATACTACACTTCTGTGTAATTTCTATAGATACACATGTACTATTTCATCTTGCTTTTCTCTGAAAACTAATTAAAATAGCCACTGTATAAAACTAGATTTCATATTCTTAGAATATTAAACACTCTATTCTATCCCAACGTGTTTCCATTTTTATTTACCTCTCTTCAGATTACAAAATGTAGGCATGTGCTGTTATTCTCATTTGAGAGGAAGAGTGGCTTGCCCAAGGTCAAAAAGGCAGCTTGTGTCACAAGAAACCAACAAATCCCACTCAGTTTTCCCAAATCATGTGCTGAAGGCCTTAACATAAACATATTCTGGGCCTCCTTCACTTAAAATCTTTCAAACACTGTTCACTGTTGTCTCAATGATGTCTTAATTATAATCTTTGCTACAATCATCCCCTTCTTTCTTCCCTGTACCTTCCTCCCCTTGCCTTGCATCAAGGATACTTTCACAGCTCAACAGCTGCCCCAGCTGCCAACAAAAAGCCTTCAAGAACTGTCACGACCAGAAATGCAGGAATTTCTGTGCTCTGTCCGCTACTCTTCCTCTCCTGAAACTCTTTTCTCCCTGTCCACAGAAAAGGAATGGCCAAAGTGCTGTTTGCTGCAGGGTTTAGTTCTCCATCCAGCAGGTCCTGGCCTGAGGAGGGTTGGAGGATCTGTTGTGTTCTGGCTGATTGATGCACAGGTTTTACAGATGATTTTACAGGTGCAATTTACTGACCAGCTATGTTTTAGTCCACAAAATGACAAGGTAAAAGGTGTTATATAGCCTCTCTTAAGATGCCAGATAACAAAACCACCAGGGAATTTCTTTAGGTAAAAGAAGTCATATATAGATGTTTTAGAAAGATATCAAAACTAAATGCAATTTTTTGACTGATAAATGAAGCACATCTGGCAATAAGTTTTTTCAAAAGTTAATGATCTGGTGATTAAAAAAGAGTTCTTATGTTCTATTTGACTTTTTCTCGCTTCACAATGCATTTTTATGCCTTTGCCTGCCACATCACAGAATATTCCACCGTGAGATACTTTGGCTTTGAAATTTATTCAGGTATTCTTGACTAGTTTTTTTCTAAGTGGTGCACTAATTGAAATTCTCTGGTATTTTTGAACTAAAAACAAACAAAACACCACAAAAAAATCCAAGTAAAGATCTACATACACACAAAAAAAATCTGAAAACAAAAATTAATCAAAAAAAACACAACCAAAACCAGAATGGAGGTAGATCTGGAGAACAGGACCTTAGAACTGCTGAATATACATAAAAAGCAATGGACTTTGAAGACTTTCAACACATCTACAAAACAAGTCTATTTAAAAAACAGAGATAGTTGACACCATAAAGTATATCTGAAACATCAAGAAATGCCATAGCAACAATACTGTGGGACTCTCAGCTGAGAAGCTGTAGCTGTAAGAGCCAAACTCTGCTGACAGAGTCCATGAGCTTCTCATCAACTGAAAGCTGGGGAATTCTTGCAGCTGGGTCAGATATTAAAATAATGGAAGAATCCTCTCTAATCAGAGCCATCAAAATAATATTTTTTGTTTCAAGTCCAGCTCTACAACGCCTTGAGATTTTGGGGTATTATCTGGAGCCATTACACGGGATCCTTTCGAAAGAAAAAGTCAGACCTACTGCATAAATGGCTGGGATGGGCCACATCTCGACCAAGTCCCTTTGGTGAAATCATCTGATGAAGCAACTGTTTCCTTTACCTTCTCTGTAAGAGGCTGGAGTGTGCCTGGATACTCAGCAACAATGAAAACATCAGTGTGTTATCAATGTTATTCTGGGGAAATTCAAAACACAGCACTGTACCAGCTGCCAAGAAAACTGAGACAACACTGTAAAGTGGAGCAACAACCCAAGAAGCACGTGGAGGATATGCTCCAGAAATGAGAGACTGTGATCACTGCTAGTTTTTGAGTTGTACACTCAGCTTGGCATGACCAAAAATACAAACTTTTTCAAATATTTCTTCTTTCTGGCCTGGTATCTCCACCATTATATCCACCCCCCCCCCCCAAAGAAGCAGGGTCTTACTGTGGCTCCCTGCTGAGAGGCGCTGTCAGTGGGTTGTTTTCTGCCCACCGTGTGTGCAGCCTTGTGTGCTGTAACTGGGGAAGGACAAAGTGCAGGGAGTTCTAAAGCCCATGTTGCAATGGTCCCTAGGGAACCACTGCCAGCTGGCAGAGGCTACAGCAACGCAGGGGCCTGGGGCTACGTGGAAAATCAAAGAGCTGGAACCATCTCCCTGACAGCCCCACGGTGGAAACTGGGTACACGGAAGAATCCAGGTCTTTGTGTGCATGAGGGAGAAGATCAGTGTTTATACCATTTCATGAAAGATTTTATCTGTCAATACATTGAATAAGGTAAAAGCCATACCATAAAGTGAAAGGGGTCCAGTATTTAAGTACTGTATTTGACCGGGATCTCTCAGATGATCTGATGGCTGGAAAAAACCTGCTTGTCTCTCAGCAGATTCGTATGATTCAGAGGATCCAGTGGATTGAGGGATTCCTAACCAGGCACACATTAGTGACTTAATTTGCCTGCAGACAGAAGGGAGTAGAGCTTTTCAAACTTCACCACCGTTTGTGCTGCATTTGTTGCATTCACAGAGAGTGCAAATGCACAGTGCTTTAAAATTAATACTACTTTGTCTTGAATTAACAAGATGAGGATTTTAACTTCCCACAGCATCTTATAAAACCGACACATGTGATAGATCTGAACACTTGCAGAAGCTACTAAGTGCCTTTTCCCAGGCATTCAGAGTGGAAGCCAAGATAAGGATTGTAAACTTAAGCCAGGACAAGAAACAGGACAGTGATGGTTCAGTCGAAGGATCAGCTGTTACCATGCCATGTTCCTGAACAACAGAGCACTTCCACCTTTCAGTGTCTCTTCTTATCAGATGTTTCCAGTAAAATAACTGGAAAAATTCTGCCTATCTCCTCACCTATAAAGGTATTTGATTCCTTTACACCTTTACATCATTCTGGTGGTGCTGTTGTGACAATGAGCTGCAGTGTCGCCAGCCCTTGGCCTCCCAGAGCTACCCTTGGTTAATCTGAGTTTTACAAGTAGCACTTAAGCACAACCAGAATTTAACTTCTAGGAGCAAAATAGCCTGCATATTAAGAAACCAAATTAATACATTTAAATCATTTTAGGAACAGAAGAAAAAGGCTAAAAGATCCTTATAAAGATTGCTGTTGGATGTAGCTAGAATGGATTTAATAATAGATATATACATGAATAAAAAAATATGAGTATTATAAAACTCCATTGACATTCTTATTAATATCAAAATATTATAATTTAGAATTGAATTTAAGATTGAAGGTACTTTATTCTAATGAATAACACAAGATTGCTAACAAGATTATTAGAATGACCATGTCATTGAAGGGTTAATGACTCCAGTTATGGTAGAAATTTAAATATCATGGGGAGGCACCTCCTGACCCAGCCATCACTGAGAATTATGCAGATTCAAATGGGAGCCACACAGGCTTTGATTTCCCCCAAGGATTGATGAACAAGTACAAAATAATAGAAAGTGACAGGAAGCAGATGACTGAGGTCTAATTTAATGTCATTCTAAAAGACAATATACCTTAAATTGGCCTTAGGAAAATTATGGGTTACAAACAAGAGAACAGAAACATGCACTTTTTCATTTTAGTTCACTAATTTAAAAAGTAATCCTTTGAACAAATGAACAGTGAAACAATAGTCATTTGGCAATGAAAAATTGCCAAACTTAAGTGGGCGTACTTTGTTTGCATAATTTGCAATTTAATGGAAAAGGCTGTAATCTTAAGAGGAGAACACTATTAAACAAAATAATGAAATGATCTGAAGACTTTTATGCAAATATTAAATTAAGACTGCTATGAAGACAAAGAATAGTTCCTAAATAGTATGATAAAATGCAATGAGCAGATGCTCGGGAAAAGTTTGCCATTTTATTAAAGGATTAGCTACACATGCACCTTTCTAGAAATAAAAAATCTATTCTGTAATGGTTTTTCTAAGAATAAAGCCAGAATATTTTACTGCTTTTAATTAGTAAGTGGCCTTCTACAGTCCAAAGTTAAGAATAAGCCACACTTCAGTCCAAATTTCCCAGATTTCAGTACATGCTACATGCAACATGCGTTTACATTATTTCACATTACAGTAATTATAAATACCAACATTTGAACAATCTGAAACAATTCCTTTTTATACCATAAATATTTGAGACATTTGTACAGAAGCAGCACTAGATATTTTTTTTACTTCAGAAATTATGTTATTTATCATGCATAATTTTTTTTCAGCTCTTTAACACCAATGAATAGAGGCATCCCTAATCAGGTATCTGCTCAGTAATTGTCTTAAATTCCCCACTGATTTTTTCTCAGCTGGTATTTAAACATAGGGAATGAATTTTGATAAACAAGCATTCAAAACAAATTTCTATATACGGCATCAAATTAAACAACTTAGAGATGTAGGAGTTTGGAAAGGCTCACTGTAATAGCAGATTTTCTCCAAATTTTCTCTAAAAATTGAAGGCTTATTAATTTTTAAAAGGGTGAAATAGCCTTTTTTTAGCATGTACAAAGACTCTGTGTCACAAAGAAACACGACAGACTCCCTGGTATGATTAAACCAGGAAAAAAGGAAAGTGCATTGCGCAAGTGCTCCATCTGCAACTCCGTCACATGGTAGACCTGGAGGCATCTCAACAGTGCTAACAGAACTGCCTCAGGAATCTACAGAGCAGCCAGATGCCAGCCCTGGAAAAATATGTAAAATTGCAGGAATATCTGCATCCTGTGACTGGCATTCAGAGAGGAGCCATAAGACCGGGCTGAACAGAAGCCCAATATTCGCATTTATTTTCGTTATGTGTAGTGGGATTTTTCATGTAAGGATAAATTAAACAATACTGATAAAAAGTGTGCAGCCCCGAAAGTTTTCTGAGAAAGAGCTACGTGTAACCTTAACCAGGTAGAAAATATACATTGTAAAATTCAAGCATATTACAATAAGGGTAAACCAAATGTGAGTTTGAGTTATTAAAGTTGTATGTGAAAAGGAGCTTTTAAGCAAATTTCTTCCCTTAGAAGAATACTGCAAGTATTTTACAAACTAAGCATAGCAATAATACATCTCTGCAAGATCAACAGAAGTAATTCTTTCCTAAAAAATCTATGTTTTATGTAAGTAGTGAATATGTTTTTCAATAGTAAATTGTGGCTGGAATCATCTTTATTTACACCTTTACTTAAAAGATGTCAAGTTCCCTACATATAAAAAACTTATATAATTTAGAAATAATGTAACTGCTATTGCCATTGGAAAACAGTCCCTTGATTGTTATATTTCCTGACATCAGGTTGTTTTCCTTCATGTAACGTCCATTGTTCAGTGACATTTGCAGTTATCTTCAAAACTGCATTTTCGTTTACATGACATAAGAAAGATGTGGTCTTCATTTAAAGAAAACACAGAGAAAGAGGGGGAGGGGAGAGAATATATGATACTAAATATGGTAATAAAGGTTAGGCAAGTGGTCTAGCCAATCTGAAAGAGTTAAAATTTCAGCACAGAGTTTTTACAGACCTTCTTCACCGAACATTTCCAATTCCTGCATATTGTCCGAGCCCTTCACCTGGTTGAAGTGCTGACTACAACCCAGGAGAGCCAGCCTGCCCAAGGCACTGGTGGGAACCAAGCAGCACAACACTTGATAAAGGCCTGGATCACATGACAGCCTAAGAGTCACCTAAGAAAAAGGAGCTGGAAACTTTTTTAAATGGCATTTTCCTAACCAGAGCATTAGGCTTGAAAATCTCCCTTGCCCTTTGTGGTGGAACATCACGGTTGGAGTCAGCAATCAGGGCTTCAAACAGTGCTAAAGAACTGCCTGTTTATAGACAAATCAGCACCTTATGAAGAAGAAAAACTGTTTAGGTCTTCCATCTCAATGCCAAAACCAGGACAAAATATAGGAGAACATATATTTCTAACTACCATCATTAATGCTGAAGGAATCAGTGAAAAAAACTCTGACCTCTAAATAAGCAGCTACAAGACACACCTCTCAGTTTTACACTCTTCTGCTGAGCATGACTGCTTGCACACTTAATTTTCTACCAGCTGGAATTTCAGCAAAACAGAATACTATCATTCCCTCTATTATAACTGGAGTACCATATGTATAACACCTCCATATTTGCAAGTCAAATTAAATACAAATGTGCCACAAAGTAAAACAAAACTATTTCCAAAAATAAAGAGAGAATTTTTGTGAGCAAACTCAGGAGAAAACAGAGTTTTGACAAAGTTGACAAGGAATCAAGAAATAAGGAGTGAAGAACAAGTAAGTATAATTTTATTCTGAGCTTTTGAAGGATCTATACATGAAAGCTTGACCATATTATCAGACTCTTTCAAGCCTTTCCACATTTATTTTTTTAGATGGAATTTGTTCTCATAAGTATAAATGCCGTATGGCTCCTGGTTGTTCTAGTTTTTTAAAGCCTTAATTCAATCTGGATTTTAATAAGGACTGCTGGCAGATAACAGCTATCTCAAATTTTATTTCCTGGCAGTTATTTGGAAGTCTAAAGATATATTTCTCAATTATCAAAAAAAAAATTTGTCAATTATCTCAGCTACTGTCAATACTGTGACCTGGTGACCTGTTCCCTTGTTTACAGGTTTTGGAAGTGAATTTTCTGGATTTGGGGAGATATGTGATTAACCACAAAGCATTCAACAGACACCTGGTTGTCTATACAAAACTTGTTTCCAGAAAAGTCTGTTCTACTTTCAGCCTTGGCAGGGCAAAACCATGTTACTGCAGGCTTTACTCTGTCTGTTGTGAATTATCCAAATTCTTTAAGACTTCTGTGAGATAATTGTCTCTTTCTGCAGAAACTAGTCATTAGACCACATTCTGTACCTTTTAAAGAGTTAATGGTTATATCAAGGTCTTTGAGAATATTTTTCCCTCTGTATGTCATTAAAGATTTGGAGAGCAGCTCATGAAATACTTTTTTTTTCCTAACTGAGGACCATTTTTTCCTTCTTCACATACCATTTCTTCCTTCTACATTTTCAAAGATGTCAAGATTAGTAGTGATCATGGACTGTAAGTAAGCTTTAATGCAAAAATATGGAGGTACTTACATTCTGGGACATAGATGTGCTTGTTAAACTATTGCTTACAGCCCAGTCTGGGAAGCAGTGTAGAATGAATATACTTCTTATCTTAATACAACTAAATCATTTCTTGAAATACACCTGCATTTTGGGCTACCTGCACAAACAAGAACTGCCAGAATCCTGGTAACTGATAAAATTCCCCTTTCCTCCTGGCAGGCAACACCAGGACACTGCCAAAAATGATTGTGGGGAGATGTCCCCTTGTCATGAGAGAGAACTGGTACACAGTCAACCATCCTGCTCTAGCAAGAGGTAAACATTGGGGTCTCTCCAAATGGGCAAAGCAAGCTGAAGTTCAACCATTCTCCTGAAGTGCTTTGAAGATCACATTTGTGCTAAGACTTAAATTTGTCTCTGAACCAGTGAACAGTTTGCAACTTTGACTGAGAGGCCAACTCAGGGTTGCAGTTAATTTACAGAATTAGATATATAATGCCCACACATTCTGCTAGTTTGCTCAAAGGAATGGTACCTTTACTTTGAATAACTGCTGCCTTTAAGATCCGAGGTTATAAATTCGGAAAGCATCCCACTCACCTATAAATTACGTGAAATAATTTTTTGTATAGAAGACACTAGAGCCTGACAACTTGACAGAGAGCATGGAACCCAGATGACTTAGCTGGATGAAGCAGCTGAGATGGCTCAGGGAAAAAAATCACAGTGAGGAATACTGGCAACCGGTTTCTTTGCTACAATGGTAGAAAAAGATTCACAAGAACAGTGAACAGTCACTTCAGCTCATGGCACAGGCTGCAGCACATCTCGTATCACACAGTTGTCTGCCTGCTGTCCAAACTGGGAGAGCTCTTCACAAGTCCAAGAAGGTAGCATTCCCGTTTTGACTGCTGAAAGAAGAACATATGACAAAAATAGAGGAGTGAAGATCCATCAGATGCCATTCAGATAATGAAATTCTCGAGCCACTGAGATAGAAAGGAATTCTGAACTTCTAAGAGGTCAGCGTGTCTGCGCCTGTGCAGAAGAGAATCTGCAGAGAAGATCAAGCTGAAAAAGAAACACAGGTTGGTGCCCAGACCCAAATGGGGATGGGATACTGATGTTTATCACTAGTTCTGGGCAAAAGATTGCAGCTTATAAATCAGACCTGAGCACAACAGGGCTGCAGCTCTCTGAGCTGGCACAACAGAAATCTCCCATGTTCTGGATGCTCTTAAGAAAAGCCTTGGCTCAGTCAGCACAGTTTGGCAGTTCAGCACTTCACTGTTTTCAGTTGTACTAAGTTAAGTAAGGTGATTTCTCTATTTCCTAGTGTAAGGGTTATGAAAAGAATTATTCAGCAAGACAAAGACAAAGATTTAGGATTTAGTGTCATTTTCTAGAGAATAAGTTTAGCACTAATTTATTTTAATGTCCTTGGAAACTGCAAGTGACCACAAATTGAGAAGACACTTTTGATTTTCATCCCTGATATATTCAAAATAAAACCGAATTAGTTTTATTTTTAAACGGAAATATTTGTGTTTTAATATTGAATTTAAGTAATCAAGATTCAAAACAATAAACACAGCAGATTATTAAAACAGAAAAAGAATGTAAACATGTTTAAAAGCTCTTTGGAAAAAATGGTCAAATTTTAAATTATATAATAGTAGTCTTCTAAATTTTCATAAAATTACACTATAAGGTACAGGAAACTATATTTGTGTGATATATAATAAATCTAGAGCATGCACTATAAACAGGCCCAGTCTTTTTGGATCTTTTAGGCAATATAGGAATAATTTTTTTTTTTTAAAGTGTATTGAAATAAAACCATAACACGAAACCAGCATCTTTGAGAAATGCTCAACATCACAATGTTTGATCTTTACAGACTTAAGGTCTTCATGTTAAACCCATTTAGGTAAAGTTTATGAAATGTGAAGAACCCGCACTGAATATTTCAGGGCTTAGTTATTTAGAATAATCGAAGAAACAAACCAGTCTTTGCAAGTCTGAAGCAAGCCAAACTAAAAAGAGAGAAATAAAGCAAATAAAACCTTCAATTTCATCTTTTTGAGTATTTTTTCTTACATTCAGCTTTCAAGCCAGTAAATAATTGCTTTTGAGAGGTTCTAACAATTAAAGAATAACATTGATTAATTAGGAAAGAATGTGAAGAATACTAATCAATCCTTAAGACAGTTTTTCTTCTCCCATCTCAATCCTTTTCGTCCCCCACAAACAATGTGTTTTCTATACTGTTCAGATTCCTTTAAAAAACATTCATATTCTTGTCCTTTCACACAAAACTCTCTTGGTGAGCATTGTTTTGGGAGGAGTGGGTGGCAGGCAGGGGGCACAGGATGTTGAGAGAACAGATAGGATGTCAGGTGAAGATGGAATGCTGTGCCCTCTCTAACCAGCTGAAGGCTCTGCATGATTGTTTTCTTACAAATAATACCTGTGGGTGTTGAAACAGTTCAGGGAATCTATCAAACCTACCCTTTCACTCTGCTGTTGTAACTCCATAAAATTTATTCTCATTTCAAAAGAATCTCGGCAATAATACCTGTAGGTGGTTGAGTAATTTAGAGAAAAATCTGTCAAATCTACTTCCACTGACTTTAGCAATAGAATTCTGTAATTACTCTCAAAGTTGCAAAATGCAATGATTTATTTTCAGTATGTTCAGGAAGTTCTAAACTGAGCTTTTGTTTTTTAGTTTAGCAACTTCTAATAAGCTTAGTGGAAGATCTAACTCAACAAGTAAACCTAACAATCGTGCAGCATTTCATTTAACTCACAAGGAAAAAAGGCAGTGCTGCATGTAGGTAACAGACAGGACACTACTGCAAGTGTAGTCCCATCTTCACATGGGCAGATAGTCCACATTTAACTTTTTTCCTACATAACTCTAAGAGGATACATCAGGAACTAAGCTGGATTCAATCCTATCTGTGTAATAATACATGGGTTTACAGATTATTTATGAACAATATAACTGAAGACCTCTGTCTCCTGATTAACAGATATACTTCGTATTTCTTAAGTCAGAAATCTAGAACAAAATTGAAAACTTACAAATTTACTATAAGCCTAGTTATACTAGAAGAATCTCTCGGTGCCCCCAGACTCAGGCACACATTCAATTTACTCTGTTTAACAACCCCCCCTTTGTCAACTGATCTGGTTGAGGGAACATTTATTCACTTTGGGTCCATGGCACATGTGATGCAATTTGACCTCGCACAATCCCCAAGGAAAGACAGATAGTCTGAGATTACCTGAAATAATCTCAGTGTGCATAAAGACAGATAAAATACAGGAACATTATCATCTGTCTGACACATCCTTAGAACCTGGACCCAGATGAACAAAATTATTTTACATGCCATCAAAGTCAAACAAAGGGAGTCTTAACTAAGTCTTAAGACTTTCGAGTCCATGAACTTTAAATGCTAAAAAAAAATCAAATTCATAGTTCAGTGCAGAGACACGTCTCTTGCACAGGCATTTTCTGGTAATCCAATGACAAGGTTGATAATAAAAAGGAAAGTAACAAATTTCTTTTCCTTCTCCCTCCCTGTCCTCACCAAAGAATCCATATCCTGTTTGGATTCACCTAATTATGCAGGAGGCACCTCAGCACATCACATCTTCAAAAGGTGAACTGGTTTGTGGCCGGTGAGGCTTAATCAAAAATGAGTGGCAAATGCACTGGGCAAAGATGTTGGACCCTGCTATAATTAAAACTTCATTAGTCCCAAATGGTCGCTTAATTTCTAATTTGCAAAAGAATATCATCCTCCATCTGTGGTCTTTTGACTAATATATAATTTTTTAGCATAAACCATATGTCTCCAGCAAACATTCATGTTCAAACAGGGAGAGAGAAAAGATAATGCAAGTTCATGGTGAAAAACAATCCAGAAATTACATTTTTAAAGTAGTCATTTAACTCCTTGCCACAACTTCAGACACATTTCCACCATTTACTCTCATCTATGTATTATCAGTGCAGACAAAATTAACAATTAAATTAAGAGGATAAAGTACAGGACAGTGTTACCAGATCACCTCATCAGAAACATGAAACATGAGTAGCCACCCTATTAACAATAAGGCTCTGATACTTGAAAGGCAAATTGTTTATAAGTTACATACCAAAGTAGAAGGAAAACCAGAAGCAGTGTTATTCTTGCTGCTTATAAAAAGGAAAAGATTTAATCAGTCATTCTTGTAACAAACATGCTATATCTGTGCAACTAGTTTTTAATTACCCAGTCTTCAATAATCTCAACCACTTCTTTTCAACAAAATAAAACAGTGCTAGATTGCTGAACTCGATAAGCCCATCCTTCGTGCTCACTAGACAGAACAGTTGGTTCTATATCTTTTAAAAATACACTTCAGAAGAATTTAGTATTTCCAATAATTTCCCTGGGAAGTAAAAGTCTGTCTGGATCTAAATTAAGTTTTATTTATTAGAAATGCAATATGGCATATGGCGGAAACTCTCTATATGTTCTATCAATCAGGCACCGTCCATATTAAAAGGAGGAAAAAAAAACCTATTTAACATATCAAAATAATTTTCTTACAAGATAAATAGCTCAGAGACAATTCCCCTGCAATGTATGTTTATGAAAAATCAGCAGGAGCCATTTATGGTCTCATAATACATAAATCAACTGAAAGAACACTTGGTCAGAATGTGAAACATCCCAACATTAACTCCCTGTGACTACAAAGCTTCCGTTCTCCCCCTTACAGGTGTCAAATCACTGCAACGTTATGATTTTTGTTAGTAGCTGGTAACAACTAAATCTATTTAGATGATAATTGGTTTTTAGATGCATTTAAATGTTGGGTTGGGGCGGGGGGGAGGAGATCTTATCCTTACACGTCACCAAATGAAAAAGCATAAAAATAGCTACAAATTGTCTTCCTTTTCCTGACCTAAACAATTTTGTGCCAAGGCAAATGAACTCTTCCAGATAGACAGACATAGGTGCCACTAAGTGATGGAAATAAACGGGGCTTGGAAAAAGCAGTGTTTATTTTTTCGCCGGAGCTTTTGCTTTCGGGATAATTACCTATGCACAAACTCTAGATGGCAACATTGCACTAACTGTATTACTAAAACAAAATGTCACACTGAGTCCCTACATATCCTCTTTATCAACGTTTTATGTGCCACAGATCTATAGCCTCTTATTATAAGTGTAATGAAGCAGAAGTTATTGAAGCATTTTATTGATTGCTCAGATCACAAGTTTACTGTCATACTGAATTGGCACCTTACTTGCTGAAGCAAACTGCTGACACCTTTTTAAAAAAGTGACAACTACATCTATTTCATGACCAGAAATCCATTTTCATCTCTATCAAGACAAGAATGCAATTTTCACTTCATTTAACTGATGTTAGGCCTGCTCAAGGCATGACACTTAGAAAAAGACACAAGTTTAAGGTTCTTAAAATATTTCTGGTAACTAGAATGCAGCTCTGCTGTGGGAAAAAAATCAAGCCTCACTCAAATCTATAAACAATACAACATTCTAAGAGTCACTTAGCTGAACTATCAAGAGGGCAGTTTTCTATTTCAATTTCAAAATTACCAAAGCACTATTTTTATATTATTTTAATAAGAAGCTGGGCTGAAATAGTACAGTTTTCATCTCGAATCTTGCTCTACACAAAGTTCACTTTAACATGGGATTATTTCTTGAGTGGTCTCTACACAGGTCAGACAGACAAAAAAAATCTATTTTTCTGTGACCTATAAAGAAGGAAATAAAGATACTTAACACCTCTTCAATGGTGTGAGTCAATGTCATATAAAATTAGAAAAGCAGAAGCTGCAAGGAAGAGGAAAAAATAATTTAAGTCTAAAAAAAGGGGGGGTTGTTACTGGACAGAGGCTGTGATACTCAAGTTATTTTAAGAATACACTTTGAAAACCCATAAAAACACAAATACAAGACTGGATTAAACTGGAAATCGAGTTAAGCATTTTGGTGAAGTTCTCATTTTCTTCCAATAATATCTAATAATTATTATGCTGAGTTTATCACAACATAATCTAATTTTCTAAAAACAGCACTATAAACAGGGTAAGTGTCCTTTGGTATAAATTTCTGACAACTCTATGAACAAGGATGGATATAAAAATTATAGGAAAAACATACTGACTTAAAAATACTTTGTAGAAGTGTATCATTTTATTAGTTTCTGCCAGGTAAAGCACCTGCAAAATGATTATTCCTAAAAGCTAGTTTACATTTTATTTGTAGGGGGGCAAAAAACCCAAATGAGTCATTAAAGCTCTTACTGAACAATGCGACTACTGTAATCTGTGAAAAACAATTGAATAGCAATGATAGATATGTTTCTTATAAAGTAAAAAAAGAAGAAAAGTTATGGAGAAAAGCATTTGTTTGTGTATCACAGAGGTATGCAGCCTCCAGTACTTGAGTCAGCAATTTCAAGAGAACAACACAAGAAAATAGAAGAAATATAGACTTTCTTTTTCCTTTGTTCTGGTATTGGCAGTGTTTCAATTGTTTAAAAGTCAGTAACATTTTTATGGATCTGCATAGAAAAATGAGAACTATGAACTATGTTGTTTGTGGATATAGCTTAGAATAACAACAGAAAAACTGTTGATATACAGTTTTGAAATAATACATTTAAGCTTGTGTTTCCATAGCCAAAATGGCGAGTAGCAGGATCAGTCAATAATTTTATTCTCTTTTGTTTTCTTGTGGGTATTTTGCATACTAGCTCCATTACATTAATGTAATGTAATTTGCTGTGGTTCAAATGATTAATTACTGTTACTGTAAGTTCTGTTAGATCAAACTAATGAACATTCAGCACAATTTCCTGTCACTTCTCATCCTGGCTCAGTCTCCTCATCCCCACACATAACACACTTCCAGTAAAAATAAAAGCACATAGAATAAAACCCCTGGACCAGCTCTGTTTCTTAGACCCTTGAGAGTAACATGTGCTCAAAAACATTCAAATATGCTGAAAGAAATTTGTGACTCTCAAATACTCATACACATACATTTTCCATAATAAATCTTCACTGTGGCAATGAGATATTCTTCTGTTTACCTGTCCACGTAACGTTTTATATCATTTAGTAAAGGACAGACCAACAGCTCGAACAAAGCGTTAACTCTAAAGGAAGAAAATGTTTAAAAATCATTAATATCATTTTAAAAAGTATTTGAGTCTTCTCTTTTGGCCTGTGTTTAGCTGTGCTAGGCCTGTGAATGACAGCTTCCCTGCTTGAAGCACACAGAAAGCACAGCCTTCCTCATTCACTGTCAGTACTATGGCCTTTTCACACGTTCCCTCCACAGCAGTGTTTGTCCCCAAACACTGGAACCCAGCACAATGGCATTCCTACCCCAACACCCCCACCAACAGCACCACTACAGATGAAGAATGCTAATGAGGTGGACATCCCCCCTCTCCCAAAGTGTGAACTATATCCCATGCTATCAGATATAGTGCTGTTCCTATTGTTACATGGCACAGCTCACTTCAAAGCACTTGCATGTTGACGACGCTTTTTTTTACCTAAAAGCATTTTTAATAGAAACTGTGGGGGCTCGACAGAAAAGATAAAAAAATATCTTACGTGCATTCACCCAACCATGTACATTATATACAAAATTAACTGATTTTAACCTCCAAAGAGGTTTGAGGATACCAGAAATTCCAACAGACACCTACACAGAATGTTTAAAATTCTGGTAAAAGGCTGACAACTGAAATATTAATAGTAGAATAATTCTATCAGAACTGTTGTTTAAATTTTACTTTCTTTTATGTTTGTTTGTTTGTTTGTTTGTTGTTTTTTGTTAGAAAACTGCATTTTACAGTCCCAGAATTTAATGGTATTAAAATGCCAATATAAACTTTGTCAAGATTTTAGGGAAGCTTATAGATCATTATGCACATATGCAATTGCAATTAGAAAGCATTTAAAGGGAAATGATAGAAGGTTTTTGTAGTATAGTGGTTATATGTATATATTTCCCTACTTTCTCGTTTATTTAAAGTAAAAGTAAAACCAGCTCCCAAAGCTCAAGTACTCATTCAGTTTTACCTGTTTTCCTTCACCTGTGTTAAACTCAAGGAATACTATTTAAGGGATACTGAGTGTCCTCTTTAAAAGGCTACAAACACCACAGCAAAGAGACAGTAACTCCTCACTCCTCTGGGGCAAGAAGCAACAGAGTGATTATAAAGATGACACCGTGCACTGTGTGGACCAGAAACTGTGTGTTGTTTTAATTCAACACAGGCATTTTAAACAGAAGTCCAGATGGATTTAACAGAAGTATGTGTATCAGCATACTATTATAGAAGTATGTATATTAGCATATTATTAGTTGTATGTGCTATTTGACTTCAATGGACAGACTAAAGTCTCTTAGCAGAGTAATACTGAATCAAAGAATGTTCCTTTTTCTTTCTTTTTACTTCCATTCCTTTTTTATCTACGTGAAAAGATAAGGTAAGCACAAGTAATTCAAATGTCAAAATAGCACAGAGATAAATAGAAATCAAGAAAATATATTTAATATTGTCAAGTAGTGGCTAGAGTTTATATTGCTGTGAATACTGTACAATCATCACAGCATTGCCCTGTCAGGCCTCAGCACCACAGGACAAAGTGAGAGTATTTTCATTGAATGGTTTGTTAATTAACATGCCTTCTAATTTTGTATCTGTATTGTATCACAGTGTGCTCTTTACAAAATAAACTTGTTTCAGTTATTCAGAAAAAAAAAGGGTAAGATCGTGGTAAGAATTGTTATACCTACAGCATATAATAACCTGCAGTTACTACAATTACTTCATTTATGTTCAGTACTCATATAACTTCAGTTAGAAAATGGTTGGAAAAATTAACAGAGAGACACTTTACACCAAATTACATGTTTCATCTTATCTTTGGAGTAATATAACTCCAAATAACACAAGCTTTTGGCACACTAACTGCACAAAACATTTAACATTCTTGCGCTGTAAAATTTCCATTTCGGCACTTAACCCAGTTTGTTAATCCAGTTTATTATTATTAATTGTTTATTAAATTATTTTAATCATAAGTTTTTTGTAGACAGTTAACTGTCAGAGCTGTACTGACATTTATCCTTGTAATCTGGACTCTTAAAAATTACAAATGGCCAATGGGGTTATATGATCATATGCCTAAATGCAAGGCTTTAATTGTAAAGAATCATTTGTCTTCAGAAGAAATTTCAAATCCACTGAAATTGTTAAGTATTTCTTGTCATTTACAATTTCCAGCTGAACCCTGATGGATAAGCAGCAAAGGAATGACTAACATGAGCTAATTTACTGAAATGTCTTTATATGTTTTTCACAGAAAAGAGCAAAAAGTAGTCAATAAACGACTTCCATGTGAATTTCTATTTAGAAACTGCACTGTCTGTTTTGTTCTACTAATTAATTGCCATTGTACTTGCTAAGTACTTGTATGCATTATATATATATATATTTGTGTTTATTTAAGAGTAAATATTATATTTTAAAATAGATTTCAGTTCCATGGCTTTTGTGACAGGCAGTGTTATCTTAAAAGTGTAGAATCATCAACATAAAGTGTAAAGATATTTCTGACTTTTTAATATATCACTCCACTGCCTCAGAAACGGTCTGAAACAAGCTTTTCTTTTTCCTTTTCTGCTTGTTTGTCTTTCACGGTTTTGTTTTTGTTCCTGTTGGATTTCTCCTCGCTGACCACTCTTTAGCTCTAGACAGGAACAGTGTCCCCAAAGTCAATTCTCATTTCTCTGTATGGACCTGACAGCAGGAGGTGCTGTATAAACAGTGTGACTGACACTTCGCCTGCTCCTCTCCTCCCCCTTCCTGCACAGCCTGCGAGCTCAGATCTCTCCTGCAGTCATTCTGAGCTCTGGGCCCCGACAGCACTTTGAAATCCGAGGTTCCCGGCTGGCTGCTTAATTTCTGTATGATACTTTTCCTCCAAAACCTCCTATTCTTATGAAGTACTCATCTAATTATCAAAAATATGTATGTCCTTACACATATAAGTGAACTTCTGTTACTATGCTGAGGAAAATCGATGTTTTCTTACTTATATTTCCTAAAACAAAACATTTGATTAATAAAAAATATCATCTTGTTGGTCCTAAACTTTTAAACAGTATATTCAGTATCTGTTTTTCACTATTTTTTCGAATTAAAATGTGTGTCTGGTATATTTGCTTGATGGCACAATTAAAATATTGATGTTTTAAACCATGATACGTTTATTTAATTTTTCATAGTGCAACACCAGCTATACTTAGAAGTGTTTACTTATTTATTTAAAGTATGTTTCAACTAAATAATTATTTAAATTAGTTTCATGGAAAGATCTATGAGACCATTAAAAATTGCATGAGCAGAAGAAGCAATGAAAAATGATTGCTTTAGAGAATATCCACACAAGGAACATCACAGCTAGGCACAGTATGCAGCAAGAAAAGATGAGGCACATGACATCCCACTCCAAAAGAGAGACACAATTAACTGCTTTATTGTTGGCTTTGCAATTATAGGAGAAGCGTTTCATTTTCCTAACAGGCACTGCAGCTCCTGCAATATATGTCACACTTCTTTATGACACAGTGCCAATCCTTGGCTTTATACAATTAGTACATTAGAAAACTAAAACAGAAAAGCAGACTTTCAAAGAGTGGGACAACTCACCTGTTTGCAACAGTTTGCAGACTTTAATCGTTGGTGCAGGGCCAATAGAACTCCTTGGATAGAAATCTTTGCTCCTGAGAGGCTGAAACCTTCTCTCTTAAAGACCCAAAGAGGTCCTCGCAAAGGTGTGATGAAATTTTGCAGGCATCTGTCAAGCAGAGGAGCTAGGCAAAGAAAAGAAGAAAAAGGGGAAAAATAAAAAAAAAAAAAAAGAAAAAGAAAAAAAAACAACCCCAAAAGCAAATGCATTGTTTTGACCCAACTGAAACACAGAGCCTCTAACGTAGCCTCAGCATCAGAACTAATTCTTAATATCTATTATTTATATCTGACCCGGGTTAAGTCTTGGAAAAGCAACTCCTGCATTTCTAGTGGCCACCATGAAGGACGTATTTATATTGAGACACCCCTCAGGAAAGACTCCTAAGCTCGGTGAGCACACCTGAATAGTTCTGAAGTGAGCCTAACTAGCTGCACGGAGTGTCATGGTGTGCACTGATTGCCTTATCTTCTCATTTATCACAGATGAGTTGGAACCAACCTTGCTGAAACCTACTTGCATTGTCCTCATAAAATTGCAAGATCCGTGGTGTTTCTGTACACAGTTTCCTGTTGAGGAGCTGACATACACCTACAATATTATAAAATGGTAACATTCATAAAATAGAATCAACACCCTCATAAGCTGTTTTATTATAACCTTCTCATTGCCACTACCTTAAAAACGACTTACAGCGAATAAAAGTGCTCAGTGTAGCTGTTTAATAATGAGGAAAGGTCAAATGAAAAGATATATAAAATTGATTCGTGGCAGTGCTCTCAACAAGATCTTTTTCTTGCTGCTTTTAGATTTCGAATCACTGTAAAGGTTGAAAGCATTCTCTCAAAGGGTCCTAATGTCAATATGTGAGATAAATAAGGGATGATTATTTTGGCTTCAGGCATTACTAAGGTGCATGTGCTTTGCAGATATTTTTGTGTAGCACATGTGGGCCTTTCTGATACAACAAAATAAAATAACAATAAGCAGCATTTCAGGCTTTTGCCTGAGGGAAGAGAAGGCAAGGCAAGGCTATAGTCATAAAGATTCATATTAGCTATATAGGTATAAATGGTGCATTTCCTAGCTACATAAATACTAACACAGAACCATAGGTTTTGTCGGAGAAAACAGAGGAATGGGGATTACACTTTAGGCATTTTTGTTAGAATAGGAGACACACGTTCCATTTGGTTTTGGCAAATATTTAGCCTCAATAGCTGTTCACTCAGCTGTGAGAACAGAGTCTGAACTGAGACCTTAGTTAAGAAACTTTCATATGCAAGTTCATTAATAATCAGAGGCTTTTGGACAGATCAAGAAGGAGCATATCATATAGTTAAATTCACCTTCAAGGATAAAGAAATAGGTAATCATACAACAGACTGTACTTTGCTAAAGTCACTGCATTTTTTGAATGATTTAAGCACATGGTTAACTGAAACTGTGTTTATTTTTGTGAAAGACATTAGTTTTTTTTTAAATCATGCTAAAATTCAAGTCTTCTGACTTCCACAAATTCAAGATAGAACTTTATCACCTAGTCAGTAACTTTATGTATTCTCACATAAACACTCCTGGGAGCTTCCGTATAGAATGCTTACTTCTCTTTTATCTAAAAAGAGACCAGACTTCACAAACTAAGACTGATGAGGATCTACTGAACAAGGTTAATATGTATATTAACCTACACTAATGATTACCCTGAAAAGCAATACAGCAACACTTTTTCAAAATATGTCATCAAAGCAAACACTCTAAACCACAATCCCTACTATAGACCATTAAATATTTGCTTTTAAAATTTGATTTCTCAGGACATGGCCATGCAACTAACATGAGGAAAAATTATTTCAAGATGATGGTTAATGAATTAATACCTTTCCAGATTATTCTAATAATGTACTTACTCCTTACCACGGAATTCAGAGATAAAATTAAGAAGATAATGAACAAGGCCTGATCAGGAGCACTGGTAGGAGTGAATATACTTGTCAGCAGCACGAGAATGAAATCTGTTTCACGTTATGTGATGAGCAGTGGTTATAGTCATACTTAGTTCAAACAAAATAAAAGGATGAAAATCTGATCTCAGTGAAGTTTTACAAATACCCTAACTGAATATGGCTTTTACTCAGTGCTTTTTAACTTAGTTACCATAGGAAAATGATTACAGAAATGAAGATAAATGAAAGTAGTGGTACTTTTTTGACTATGTAAGTAGACTGAACATAGCTGTGAGAAAATGTGTGTATACCAGAATTGAATGTTACATTTGAACACTAAATATAATACTATTAAGTATTTTACCACAAATAATTTTAAGATTAGTACAATGCAGCCATGCTAATCCACTTTCTCTGAAGGTAATGACCTTCAGGACCAGAGAGGGATATTTCCAAGACCTGCTGGGGTAGCTTGGAGGTTAAAAAAGTGTCACCTCTTTCAGACACACCTAACACCCAAATTACTCAGCAACACTGAGCATCAGCACATAATTTTCTATAAACAATAGTAATTTCCATAAACATCAGCTGATTTTATCCATAACGGTATTTGCTTCATTCCACACTCAGCCTTAATGTTTCCAGTTTTACAGTCTCAAAGAGCTTGTATTCTTTCTGTTTTTTCCCCCTATTCTTTTGACCTCCTTTTTAAAATTCCAGATATCGATGGTATTAAATTATTAAGTGTTCACTGAAGTACAAAAACACGTGCCCCTAGAAAGGTAAAGGAATAAAGGTAGATCACTAAGGCAGTAACTTCAGAAGAGTGTATCTTACTGAAATATTCCATAACTTTATACTGTTTGGTGATTCCAGAAGATACTTTTAGAGCTCTAGATAAAAAATACACAGTTGCTCAAAATTATTTAATAATGTTTTTGCTGTTCTCATTTGGAACTGATGCAAGACTGATTTCCAATGAACAGGTACCTCCTTCCAGACTTCCATACATTTTGGTGACTTACCTAAAGCAAAGAAGGTGTTGGTCTGAATTAATATCTTTCTGAAAACTAAGAGTATCAGTAATTACTCCACAGTACAGCTCCCAACTCCACTAGAGTGCTTTGATACTTTATACAAAGCACAGTCTACAAAGCAAGGCGGGAAGAACCTATAGGCAAAATTTCCTGAAGGTTTGCAAGTCTCTTGGGAAGTGTTGCATAGTCCATCCACCATTCCAGCTGGTCAAACATTACACACACTGAGCTAGGAGGCAGGACCATGAAGACAGTAACAGTGTGTTGACCACAGCAAGAGAAGGCAAAAGCCAACCCTTGGAAAGAAAGTGCATGAGCTGACTCGTGAGGTTTAGGAGCAAGTCCCCGTGATGTCGGTCTTTCAGATGGTCAGAGAGCAAAGAGAGTCTGAAGTTTTGGAAAAAAATTTTAAATTACAGACAAAATTCCTTTTCCTTATAATGTCTATGCAGAATTATAAATAATGCATTAGAACCAAACTGCACTTTTTCAATTGAGTCATTTTTTCCTTCGCAGCAGTCTTAGCTGCTAGAGAGTCAGCCATGGATAAAAGGAGAGGACCCAAGGATCTTTGCTCCTCAGCTAAGCTGAACAGTACAAATACACCTTTACTGTTTTTATTCTCCCCCTTATTGATTTTTTTAGCTTCATATCACATGACAAACATCGAATTTCCTTGAAGAAAATAATTGGTTTACAGTGTAATTTTACACTCCTCTGAAGAACAGAGACGAGAAATTTTCCCCAAAACAAAACCCAGAGACTTTAAAATGATGGGGATAATGACATGATGCCACAGTGGCAAACAGGAAAGAAAAAACTTTTTTTTTTACATTGTCTTGTCTTTAAACTTGCTAAAAATTATGAGTGCAATGTTGACCAAATGGAGTGACAGAAAGCATGAAATCCAAAGCCCAGTAGGGTATCCACAAAAAGTAAGCAGAACATTTGTAAAGGAATGGGAAAATCACCCTCTGGCAATTTGCAATCATCACAAGTGGACTGCAAAAAAATAAAAACAAATAGCCCAAAATTCAGTTTGTTAACTTTCTTCTTACTTGAACTCATGACATTATCGGAGCACAGACATTAGTATTATGCTGAGCTCTTTTCCACATCCATTTCTCTTAGCAAATAAGCCAGCAAGCAGTAAAAGCATCCTTTTTAAAAAAACAAGTAACAGTATCAGAAAAACAGGAAATAAACCATCAACAGTTTTTCCAGAATCGGAAAAACAGAATCTCTCAATATGACCAAAATACTAGAAATTCTTTTTATACTTCCTGGGGACAAGGCTTTTCCTGAAGGTACTTTCAATATGCCCTGTACTCTGTATATATATATATAACAGATGAAACTGTGTTAGTGTGCAGTGTTTCTTATTTTAAGCAAACATGATGCAGCTCTTTGTCCAGGGCAACTGGCATGTACTACCCAAAATTGTGGTTTATACAGGAAAACAAAATGATGGAGAACATGCATTTTCCTGTGTTGTTGAAATTACACCAGTGTGGTTTTACTCCAACAAAAACTAATCTAACAGCTGCTGTGTACTTTTGTTTACATGCTATATGTCAAATCGTATTGTCCCCAAGGTACTTATGAGAGATGCTTTAGCAGTCATTTTCTTAAATAGTGATGCCTATCCGAATTTGGATTTTTCCACCATTGAACAGAATGACAAGTACACGATTGCTGTACTTAAAGCAATCTTTCACAGCTGCTTCGCTTTTCCACTGATCCCATTGAATTGACGGCACATGCCTGTGGGGTCTGCAGTGTTACAATACTGCTGAACAAGATGTTGATTGTACACTACAAAGTCGTACAACACAACTTGGCTTTATTGTGGGAACCATTTCCCGGGTCCTCCTTCCATTGATTTTCAACCTGAGCAAAAGTTGATTTAAAATCCCGTCCGTCTCCCTGACCTTTACTGGACACCTGGTTATGTTAATTGTTTAGAAGTGCAAACTCTAACCCCTCGGTGGTTGGTAGGCATGAAAACCTATGAAGTGTCCTCAGTTCCTAAAATGAGCATGAGTCATGTCTTTTCCTGAACTGCACGAAGTAGCTGTGCATTAAATATGCTGGCACATCTTCTGCTTGAGCAAGTGGACCGAAATGGTGTGAATTGTTAATGCCTTGCTGCTTTGGTTCACGGCTTGTGATTGATCATTTGTAACTATATCTACTCCTTGTTCCATGAAATCAAGTATGGAGTAATGGGTTCATCAGATTTTTGGGTTAAATTGAGAGTGAAGAGGTACTGTGTGTGGAAATAAGAGTTGCCATGTTCGGGGCTGGCCTTGTAACAGCATGGAATCTAAAGGCGATATTCAAAACCACTTCACTCATCATACGCTTACTGATTCTGAATAGGGTCCATTTGCAGGGGACATTTGGTAGTTTTCCAATACACTTTATGCCTCTTTCTTCACTTCTACCACCCTGCACATCTTTTTTTTTTTTTTTTTTTTTAACTAGAATAGCTTATAACAGGTCAGCATAGAAAATTAATAGATTTAAGCATCTTGCTATGTAAAAGTTAAAATAGCCTTGGACTGAAGTGACTGTCCTCCTGCTAATTAACAATACTACCTAAATATTAAGTCGTTTGCATGACTCAGGCTATAAAAAGCTCAGTAAAGTTTTACTCACAATGCAGAATTATTTCATATTTTGCAGAAAATTGTTTTTCCAGGCAGAAAGAAAGAGTTACAATAGCCTTAGTTCTACTCCTCAATCCATTCATGCGCAGGAATGACACATATTTCCAGACATTACAGCACAGCTTGTGACTTTGCAAGCAGCAGTGTGTGGGACAACAGCAAATACAAGCCAACAGCAACCAGAAGTGACAACTTGTGATGGCCTGCAGGAGAGGAATCACACACAGCATCTCCACAGAACAAGAAAGGTAATGTGTGTCAGCATCAAACTGGCTGGGGTGCTCACACTGTTCTGTCTGTGCAACAGAACCCTCCCTGGACTTCCTGTGCCACCTCAGCTCCTCTAGGTACAAACCATCAACTCAGAATAAAACACACCAACTTGTTTCCCTGTTTTAAAACAATCTATAGGAGTGATTTCACTGCAAGTGAATGTTCAGCTTGGAATGAATGAACGACTCCGGTCACGTGAGACTCACAACCAGGTTTTCCACCTGCTCCTGTGCTGAAGTTCAGAGACAAAACTAAAATCTGGATAAATTTAAGACCAAAAGAGAAATACAGAGTAATAAGTGACTACTTTTGCTCCTCATTTAGGAGTAAAGAATGAAATGAAAGGGAATTAAACGAAAGAGAAGTGGAAAGGAGTGTACTGGGTGTATACCTCTGTGTATGTTTGTGATTATTACAACCATATTAAAACAGGTACAGCAGCTTAATTCCATTTCATCCAAGCTGTGCCAGACTAGATTTTAAATCTCTCTTCTTTGGTCAATACTTATCCTGATGAATGTAAACGTAACACAAGCCTGCAGCAATCAAGTCCATGCACAAGTTCTGTCATTAAGAGTTTTGGGGAGGCTTCACTCCATGCCACACTGGAGAAGCAGAGGAAGCAATTATGAATGAAGCAGTTGCCTTTTTCAAAACTCATTTTTAAAAGTCCCCATCTTTTTCCCTCTTTTCTCCTTCTATCTTTATGCTAGCACTAGGGAAACCTTTATTTAAGTATTAAATCAGGCTAAGTTTTAACTATTTTGACTCATGGTGACTTTGTTGGCTCATAACTGTAGTTGGGAAGCTTTCCCATACTTATGCAAGGAGCTGTGCCACCATTTGGAAGATGTTTATCAAGTCTACAGAAGTCTTTTACAAAAACCAATGATTTCCCTGAGTATTCCTTTTTTAAATTCTGACTAACTTGTAGGTGCTCATCTCTATTTTCAAAACATTCAGTGCCCAAGCAGTTACAGAAATCTGTACAGATGCAATTGCAGCAGCCAGACAACGAAAGGCCAAGAAGACTTTTTCAGCCACAACATGCTTAGAATTCTTGACAGCAGTTCATTGTGATGCATTACTGCAATCCACTGGGGAGTTCACAGGACACAGGATGGCTGAGGTTGGAAGGGACCTCTGGACTTTGTCTAGTCCATATCCCTGCTCACAGAAGGGCCAAGCGAGAGCACGTTGGTCAGGGTTTTCTCCAGTGCTATTCTCAGTGTCTGAGCATGAGACTTTGTAACATCTCTGGGCAGACTGTTCAGTTCTTGACCACTTCTTTGTCTTATGCTGAAGTGGAATTGTGCACACTTCAATTTTTGTCCACTGCTTCTTATCCATTCATTGAATACTACTGGGGAAAATGAGAATCGATGTTCTTTACTCCCCCACACTTGTACTTGTGGACTGGATCACAGCTCTCCAGCTGCAGGATTTCACATTTCCCTTTGCTGAACTTTCTGGGATTCCTGTCTGCCTGTTTATGCTTTCTTCCTCCAGCAGTTCTTCTAATGTGCAAAAGTTCTTTAAGACTTAAAGAAGCATGAAGACATACTGCCTAATTCAATATGCATATAACTTAAGTAGAAGGTAGAGAAAGGTCCCGGAGAAAATGAGTTAATCCTCATAACTATGACCTCCTGTATATGAATTTCATTCAGGCAAAATATTAACTCCTAATAAAGTAAAGTTAAAAAAACCCCTACACATGAAGGGATATATTCAGATTTTAAAACAAACAGCTCCAGATATTATTTTTAAAAAAATTATGAAAAACCAGAGATGGTGTTCTCCATTCAACCAGATACACATACTGCCAGAGAGGCTTGATCTCTTGTCATTTTTTTGTATTCTAATTTACTGAGTCAAGAAAAGATGCATTATAATCAAACTTAATGCTGCTTTAGTGCTCTGCTGGTTATAACCCGTGGTGTCAGCAGGTACACATTTGCCAGATCAATTCAAACATCTTTGTTATTTTCCCTGTTCATACCATGCCTTCTACACTAATCAGAATAAGGTATGTACACTCTGTATGTCAAAGAAATTCAACAGATTCCATTGTGCTTTCCAGTGGAGAATATCACACAGGTGAGTGGAACCACAGGTGGAGCACTTAGTTTTATTTAAGTAACAAATTTTATGTAAAATGTATAATCTTTCTATTATTATATATGGTATATATATAATAATACATACAACTTACCAGTAGAAATTTACTATAATAATGATACTATTCTGTATATTATAATATACAGTTGATATTACATTATATCATATTGTGTTATATTATACCACATTCCATATACCATATTATATTGGGTACACTATACATTGGTTTGAATAGATGAAATAATTAGCTGCATCTGCTGATGCCAACTTTTACAGGTCTGACAAACCAATGAATATACTCCCTTAAGACTAAGCAGTAGAGATATAAAATGATAAAAGCTAATATGGAGCACAAAGTACCTGATAGTAGGCATAGAGCAAATTTTTATACCTCTGTGGGAAAAGTAATGATAAACACTCCACAGAGATGAGCTTCTGCATTCAGAATTCTGATGCTAAGAATAAAAACACTTCTCTAGCTGTGGGATCAATGCCAGTTAACTTGCCTTGGATCTGTCAAAAAAGCTGTTGCTCACTATATTTCACACCTGAGGATAGAAATGTTAGGCTGAATCTGAACCAAAACATTAGGATGAGGTGCAGAAAAGAAATATCTGGGTTGATTCTCAGACAGGTCATGTAATTGGCATCAAAGATACTTTTGTTGCAGAACAGGATTTCACAATGAAGGTTCAGGGTCCCATCGTGACTGAGTTATATTTAAAAACTGGTTTTGAAGAAAGTCCTTCAGTAGTAACCTTTGCTTATAAACAAATGCTGCAGGTGTGGTTACATAGGCTGTGATTAAAGAAAATTTGGCTTAATCCATCTCTTGTTATCCAAGTGCCATTGATATCATTTGCACCATAAATTGAAAATGCCACTGAAGAGAGAAATATTTTCATCACATAGGAAGGCTCTGAATATATCACTGGGCTGCTTTTTCAGCAATACTGACAGGGTATAAGTCCAGTTTCTCCTCAGACAGTGTGGGAGAACATTTAGCTGAGGTTTTCGTGCTCTTTTCGTTACAACAATTTTCATGAGCATTCCCTATATTTCTTTTTATAATCAAGAATAAATTCTTTTAATACCTATGATCTGAAAGCATCTGTAAACTTTGAAATAACAAGAAAATGTTCATAATGAAGACAGCCTTCTCTCTTCCTAACCATGGCCAGGGCATGCTATCTGGCTTGTGAGGAGAGTCAAAAACCCTGGAAAAATTCTACTCCTAGCTGGGCTGAAATCTGATTTGCTACTCTGAAAGTGGGTAGGATTTGAAGAGAAATAAGCAGACTAATTTACAGACACTTGTGGAGGTGCAAAACCTAAAGAATTTAAGACTTCTTTTAGTGGTTTCCAAACACTACATCTTCCACATATAGTTCTCCCATGATAGGAGGATTATTAATAGGCACAGGCACTTCTAATTTCTGAAGCTTTTGAACATATTTATTTAAAATCTAGTACTAAAAATCTTTGGTCTGAATAACAAAGAGACATATTTAGGAATAAGGAAACAAAAGTCCTAGGGATATATATTTAAATGCCTAATTAAATTTTTAGTACAAAGATATAGCTATTTTCTAAAAATATCCCTGAAGGAAAGCTCAGAGAACTAATTCTTAGCCTTCTTACACAGAGTTGGAATGATGTCTTATTTACAGAGCATATACAAGGGCAGGAGAGATAAACTGTGTGTGGTATTCCATTGAAACTGTAAGAAAAAGCTCTCATACTAAAGCAGTACTGATAGAAAAAGGCCAGTCAACCACTGAAAAATGGATTAAAACTATGTAAATATTAAAATGCTAGAATTACATAAAGCAATAGCTTTATTCATGAGCTTATTTATTGACTATTTGCCATTTTTAGTTCCATTTAAGGGCACCAAGCCACACAAATTATTTAAAAAAAGAAGCCCAGATTTTATTTTCAGTTCAAAGTCCTCAACGCCTCAATTTAGTAAACAGAATGCCTGTTCTAACAAATGCTACTTACCATTTATTGCCCATTTTTTCTCCTTATACATTGTATCAGTATTTCACTGGAGAAATAAGTTATCTTCAGTGTGCAATCATCTGAAAAACTTAAAAAAGGAAAGGTGTAACTGAAAATAATAAAAACCTATTTCTTTAGCAAATACCTTAAGAAAATAAAAAAAGCCATAGGATGATTATGCTCTAAAGAGCTACACAGAAAACATGTATCAATTAGAGAACAAATGCAATGCAATCTATCCTCCACATAAAATGCAGAATGAACAGCTGTTAATCAGTTCATTTCCAGCAATGACTCTACACATTTTCAAGTACAGCATTCTAGACATGCAAATTCATTAGAAACACAAGAAATCACATATTCCAAGAAATATTTTGAGGGGGGAAAAAAAAGCAACTGCGGGTCTAACAAAATGTTTTGTGTTTCTTACCGACGGAAAAAGTATGAAATAAAAAAGAAAAATTTAGATGCTTGTGAAAGATGAATCTACACTTCAGATGCTGTGCACAAATATGTAACAGGAAGATCTTCAAAGACTTTATAGACAAAGTGAGACAAAACTCTTATAAAATCTAATTAGTTTAGCCACACAAAAAGGTAACTATGTTGTGCAAAATTTTTTATGTGTATCCACTGACCATAGATGACCATGGTAGAAAAACAAGATAATGTAGCAATGTCTTAGAACTTACTCAGTGACTCCAGCAAAAGACTCCTTGGCAGTGGAAAGTGTGTGGTCTATGCTGGAATTTCGTTGGGTGCTGAAGAGAGAGAGGGGCTTGATTTTCCCTACTACATGTTTATGTTAACAGTATATTTTGACTAGAGCATGCATGCCTTGAATAAAAATATATGCTAAACTCTAGAAATGTCACAACTGCTAAATTTAACTTCTGATTCCCATTTAGCATCCAAGTACATGGATTTTTATTAGTTTCAATGTTTAAACCTAAATAACTTTTAATAAAAAGTTATTTTCAACTTCAGTGTTTAACTCTGCTAGCAAAGATAGAAACTTGCCTTTAGATAACTTTAGAATAACACACCCCAAACATATTAATGTTTTGGCCTGTTTCATACCATCACAACAAGTAATATCACAAACCATTTCTTGTGCCCACCATCAAATTCTAAATTATGCTTATTGTCCATGTCCACATTGTTCTGATCGTTCCTAGTCATGCATTACAGCTATTGTTTTAGAGAGAATCCTCCCACTGCTGTGATTTTATGCTGAACCAGGTTTTCAGATTGAATAACTTAAAGTCACATAGTTCAGCCAATGTAAAACGTATTTCTTGATAGCACTTTTTTTAAATACTATTTGCTTGCTACACTTACTTCAAAAGAATTGATTATTGAATATTTAGCTTACCTCCCTCCAGCTTGTACAGAAATCATAACACTTGAGAACATATACAATAGGTGTTTTATATTGTGCAACACTATTTCAGGGAATGCAAAATTATGAAAGAGGTGAATCATCACTATAGGAGTTGTGTGATTAAAGCAGAAACTGTCACTGAAATGATGCTGGCGAAATTACCTGTCATTCTTTGAAAGAAAGTCTAAGAAAGACAGTACACAAGTTACTTTTTTGATGACAGAAATGGCAATACTTTGACCAGGAGAAATTCATTGTTCATGGAGGTGTTGAAAAGAAGAGGCAAGAGGAAAATACTAATGACATTATTCAACCATCATTATTATTTCAGGTCAGTCAGGGAATATCCTAAGCTGCCTTTTTCAAGGCGCTCATAGAGAACACAAAGTGTGAAGAAAAATTTTACAGATCTTGTAAATTTTAAGAAGAATGTGTCCTGTTTTAAAAATCCCACACATTCAACTGCAATGAGACATGTTCAGACGTGGAAAATGCATCTTCTACCTCAATAGAACACACATTCCACAACTGACATTGCACACCAAACTTAGGAGAGGTGCTGCCTGTCCAGAGAGATCCAATTTAAAATAAGACAAAGAGAATACACCATCATTAAAGTCTTGTGGGGTTCTTTTCTTTTTTTTTTTTTTCAATTTTAACTGTAATTACAGTACCTTCAATGCAGTTCTAACACTCACAAATATGGAACTCTTTGGAAGGTGCTGCAAACCACCTAAGATTGCTAAAATTCAGCATATTCCCCTCCATTTCCCACTTTTTCTACATATTTGTCATATTTAGGCCCAAATGCCATGGTTTTGACCCAGTTCTAACTTTCCTTGCAAGAGAGAATAGAAGGTGGGAAAACATGCAAATATATCACAATTTCTTACAATGACCCCAAGGTCCTCCACAAGTTGTAGCTTCTAATCCTTTACAACTAAAGGTTCCTTATCTTTCTAGGCAGTTGCCTAACTGAAAACAACTATGTAAAAGTAGATTTGGGAGAACTAGGTCTAAACAGAACAGTGTTTCAGGCATTTTCTGAACTTTGGTTTGGGACAGAAAAAGTGTTTCATACTAGTTCAAAATAAGTATAAAAATAAGTATAAAAAAAAGAAAATAATAACCGTATATTTCATGTCTTCTTTCAAATTTTGTAAACATATTTAGCATTCTTGCCAGTTTTAACTGCATAAAGACAGGCACTTTCAGCATGAAAATATCCTTTCCTTCCATGAATTATGAATCCTATTTTCAGTACATCTCTGTATGTTGATTGCTGTATAGTAGGTGTGCAGTTATTCTATCAGTGACTAAGTGGGGATGGGAGGAAAACTGTGAAGGTTGTACAGTCTGCTAAATCTGCATTTTTTTTTGAGAAATGAAACAGAGACAGCAATTGATCAGTGTGTCTTTTTTCTCCTTCATTCAGTGATACACATCTAGCACAAGTGAAGTGAGACAGGTGTCACTTTTGTCTGGGTTTCAGAACAGAGAGAACCAAACATCCTTCGGCTACGCTTCAGACTTTCCTGCCAAGCTCCCACCAGATTTGATGAAACCACATAACTCTGCCTAGCTGGCCCACTCTTTCTTTAATAGGTAAAAGTCTGAAAAGAAATACTGACTCCAGAGAAATGAACACACTTTTCAGACAGTAGCAACAATCTGCTGAGCACTTTGCTTATTATACATAGAAACCCCCCACATTTCAATTGTGTTTTTTTTTTAAATCACACTAAGTGAATGACACAGCAAAGGGAAAGAACAATGTCTCATTCAAGGAACAAATAATATTTGTATTCAAGGAAAAAGAAAATGCTCTGCTTCTGATATGTTGGTGATTTGACTGCACCATAACTGGGGTTGTCCCAGATGAGGGGAGTACCCTAGGAAATTATCAACATATGCAGCACATGTATCATATGTTGCCTTTATTCTTCCACTCTTCTTTAGACATCTGCCTAAAGACAGGATATTGGACTACTAAAGTTCAGCCTGATACAGTATTGTAATTTTTATGGCAATTAGGCTTTCTTTGCAATTTACAAGCAAGGAATAAGTTTTCTTTTTAAATCACTTGACTGGAGGAAATATCATTTGAAAATTTTAATTTTTTTTTATACTTACTGTTGCATTAATACCTGAGACACCGATTTGCAATTTCTTTCAAATGTGTTGGCCTTTTGTTGTGATTTAACTTGGTGATTTTAGCTGGTTTGTTTTTGGCATATGTCTTCTCTATTTGGTTCACTGAATGAGGGAGCAAAACCCTTGCACTGGCCAGGGAGCTGCAGAAGTCCTACAACGACAGGGCACAAGTGGTGGAGGCTTCTTTTATCAACAGCACTGCAACACACTGACTTCAGATATGCTCAGAACTACGGCCCCAGGCACTTTTGCCCTGTTATTGCAGGACTCCTGCAGCTCCCTGGCCAGTCACCCTTTCAAAGCAGTCCAGACATCTCTAAGGCATCATGGATATCAGTTTAACAACTTATGTTCTAGGTCAAGATATCCTCATTGAAAAAAAAACCCAAAGATTGATTAATATTGTATGTCAAAAATCATCACTGAACTTTTTTGCTCCTCTATACAGACAAGTTTGATCTGTGTGTTTTGATTTTCCTCATCATGGTGGAAGTATTGTGAATGTTCTAGTTAGACAAGAGGTTCTAGGAACATTTACTGCTGAAGTGTTATTATTCACATTTGAAAGCAATATCTTGATATATATTAGCACCAATGTTGACAGCAATACAATTAATTTTATATTACAAAATATGGAATGATGCCTATAAAAAACTGACAGACATACGACTTTTTATTAACTGTGCCAGAAGTGGTTATAGAGTTCTCCTGGGTATTATTTTTAGTGGATGAAAATTCTAGTGAATAGGATAGTTCAGTTGGAAGGGACCTACAATGTTCATATTGTCCTACAGACTTAAAAAATCCCTAAACCTGGATTACATAATTCAGAGAGGACTGGATGCTAATAGTCCAGGCATTCAAAATTCCTTACACTCAGTGGAAATCTTGACAAAGTATTCCATGTTGTTCATCAACCCCAGGTTTGAAAAGTATTTAAAATTTATTTTTAAAATCTTATTTCAAATATATCACAGGCTAATAAAGGAAATGTGGTATAAAGCATATGTGTCATAACTGGTTTGGGACAAATACATATGCCCTTCTAGATATACCTGAAAACAAAGACAGCACATCAATTCTTCTCAATCCTACTGAATTGCCAAGAAAGTATTAAAAGGCCTTATACAAGAAAAAAGATTCTTGTACATAGCATAACTTTAAAATATGTTGTTATATGGTTGCAGTGTTCTCTCTTTTAAGACAAGTATTTTAACTACATATTTATAATATCAAACCAAACCAGAATTGACCATATGTGTAAACATATATAACATATGTAACTCATGCCTCAGGTAATCTTAGAAATTATCTTCCTTGGTAATAAATCCTCAGATCATGTACTATTAGTTAGCAGACACAAAAGTAGGGGAAGAAATAGGCATGATCAGAAGCAAGGTGACCACTAGGCAAAGACAAGGAGGTTAAAGAGCAAGGGGGATTTCAGGAAAGAGGGAGAAAAGATGTAAAATTCCCCTTATCTATCCTGAACATACATATAATCCCTGTTTTGCTGAATTCCAAGGCTTTGTCATTTCAGAGATTTCTTTGCCTGCTTTTTTTTAATCTGTAATTACACAAAAGCAGTACAACTGCAGTAACAATGAAGGTACTTTAGAGATGCATTCACACAAACACGCTAATAAAAAAAGGTTACCTTTTCAATTGGATTTTGTGGTGCAATAATCTCATAGTTAACCTGTCCTTTGCAGTTCTTAAACACTAAAATTCTGCCAGAGCTGTTCTCAATAGTTTTCTACATGCAGTGAACAACGACAGGTTTGGTTTTCTTCTGCTTGCCACCACTAGGAAGAACCAGGCCGAGATACTTTCTTCATTAATGACAGATGGTCTGAAAGGAAAAAGAAAAAAAAAAAAAAAGAAGAAAAAAAAGTAAAGTCAATATTTGGCTTCAAAATTGAAAACAGACACATCATGCTGCCCTTTCTCTCTACTGCCTTAAAAATACACACTGGCCTGCCTCCACTTAGATGCTGGTATTTTCTGAAATAGTACCACCAGCTTCCTACTAACCGTGACATAAGCTGTAGCAAGCTGTCTGCAGTGATAGCCTGCATAAATCATCGTTCCTGAAGGGAACAGATGTTCAGGGTATGAAAGAGTAATACCACAATTTAGTCATAATTAAAATTCACCTTAGCATGCCTCTATCGGTGAGCAGAGAGGAACGTTTCACTTCTCACCTACAAAAATGAAATGCCTCTCGTTTCTTCTGCTTCAGAAAAATTAAGTCTGAACCTTTTGGACGTTGTTTGAGTTCCACATCTGACACTGCATCGTATAAATGACATTTTTATTTCATTTGAACTGTTAGCTTTCTTCTTTTCCCAGACACTAGAAAATGACCTCTAAATGGTGTACTGCCTCTGCACAAAATGCACTTACAATTAAATCTTCAAAGGAGATTGTTGCACATTCATTGCATGCAGAAATATAATCAGCAGCTATCCAGACACAGATCAAAACTGTGCCAATAAACACAATCATTGGACTGGTAACAATTCAGTCTGAGCTGGATATATTTAAAATCTTAGGGGCTGAAGGCCTTTAAAAATTATTTAGTAATCTAAGATCACTAAAATCAGTGGGAGTCAGAGGATTAACTCAGGAAAAATTTGATCCTTAGCCTTGAAACTGTCATTAATGTTAATGGAATGTGTCTATACACATAATTTTGAAAATGTAAGCCTCATACTGCTATTATTGCAGTTGGATTATGTTAGATGCATGACAGTTCTTTTGAAAAATTGGTTTCAATTCACAAGTCTTTATATCATGAGGCTACATTATTCTAAAATATAAAGGATGTGTTGATTATGTTAATAAATGTCTCTAAATCCACTAAAGTATAAATGGCTGAGCCTTTCATAGTGATTTAAAATTCTAAGACAAAAGAAAATTAATCTTCTCATCAGCATTGATATTGGCAATCAATTTGAAAAAAAAACCCAAACCCTGTCATTAAACCATGGTTTAGTTTCCCAGTTTCAGTGGCTGTCCACCTACGGAATTTCACACTGGATCCTCAAATCCATGGATTAGATCCTCAGTGAATGTAAATTAGATAACTTTATCGAATTCAGTACAGCTACAGTAACTTACCAGGACTGAGAAGGTAAATTTGTAAATTAATAATCCAGTAAGGTTTTGTAACCAAATTTACTTCTCAACAGGTAAGCAAATTTCAGATTTACATTTGAAAAATTGCTGTTTGTTTTCTTCCACGGGGATGCATCCACATTAGTTCAAAGACAGACTGCAATTTTTAAGTGAGGAACCTAATGTTTCCACTTAATGTACTTTGGTTTCTATCACAGGGCAGTTTCAAAGCATGCAAACAGATATCATTTGGATGAAACTAAATGCAGGGATGTGCTCCAGAGAGGTACCTAAAGCCCTTCCACAAGTCCAAAGCACAGAGCAGAGATTGCCCAGAGTAATGTCTTTTAAAATGTGTGTAGTGTGGACGTGAAGTTCCTTAATACTAACAACTGCTTCCTTCAAAGGTGTGTTTCTCTGGCCCTCTACAACTTGGTAACACAGACATATTTTCATTTTTCTGCTCCCTTCTCCAGAGCCCTTCCTGTTCATTGTAGAATTTATGAATTTTGCCTTATCTTTGCTTTTGAAACAGCACAAATGTGCACTTGCATTGTCAGGAAGTCATTGTCTGGTTGCTGTACAAGCCAATTGGCCTGTGCACTCGGTATGAACTTGTTAAAATCTTCTGCTAAAAATCTAACCTTTCCCATTGCCACTGATCAGGTTCCAGCATCAAATAACTTTGCTGATGCCAGAGCATTCTCTTAGGCTCAAAACAGCCTTCCACGTAGTACATTTAAAACTGGAATGCCAAGTAGGATAGAGATGGGTAAAGAGCATTAGTTGTTACTTCCACAGGTAAATGTAACAATGCTAGAATGGGAAATGCAGGAAATGGCATTAAAAATTCCATGTGTTTCACAGTCCTTACTATTAACAATTGGGAAAAGTTTTTTATTATTGATTCATTACTCATTTAGAAAGCAAGCAAGGCTTCCTAAATCCATTTTAGAAATGGGACTCCTGAAAAATTGTACAGGATCTCACAGAAGAGCTTGAAATAGTCTCCTCTCTACAAGGACATGGTCATACAGCAACCATTTATTCAGACAAAAGGTTCTTTTTTACTTCATGAACAACAACAGTTTTGGAAGACAGTTTTCTTATGGACATTACTTTTTGTATTAGTTACTCATATTTGTGTGAAAAGATTAATTTCATTGACTGTATAAGACACACTGTCCACCCAGACGTAGCTCAGAGCTCACAAGAGCAACACATCTTGAATCACACCCTCATGTGACTCATCCATGAAATCCCCTTCTGATCATATGAAAATGTAATAAAGAGGTTGTGGAAAGACCAGTTTAATTAAGTGTTAAAAACCACGTTTACCAACACAGGAAAACAGATCTTAAAATCTCAACTAAACAACACCAGTGAGTAAAAAGATGGACTGACTGCCATCTGGGAATTTTTGAAAACATTGTGTTTTCAGAGAAGTTGCAGAAGGTGAGTAAACCTGGGAAGGAGGGGCTCTAACTTGCACTGACAGATCTAGTCTAAGTCTGTACCTTTTGGTACCGATTTAGTTTGGTAGGATATTCATTTATATGGTGTTATTTCCCATATAAGCAGGTATTACAAGTTGTCTGTCATACAGCTGCAAAAGGATGTTCTCAGTTGAGGTAAGCCACACTAAGTAAGTGTAGTTTGGTTTCCTCTTGAGCAGTACTTGGAAAAGAAGTGGCAGCTGATTCAGATTATAATGAAAGATGACATAAGGTGAAACTTAAGAGATGGCTTGGCATTGAATGATAAGAGCAAGTAGATGCCTAAAGGCAAATTTAGGGAGATTACAGCTGCCTAAACCAAAGAATGTGATAAAGAAAAATTTTGCCCATCCTTTAAGGTTACATCCACAGTACTCCTTGAGGCTGGCTGAAGAATTGTAGTGAAGGTCAATCCTGCCTGTATTCCACAGCATAAACCTGCAAGGAAGCTTCAAGCACAACAGGAATAAGCCCTCTAGGAATCTGCATGGCCTAAAATGTGAAGCATGACTTTTTCTTCCTAGCCTTGAATGAAGAAGATGTCAATGAGGTTGCTGTGTGCATGGAAAGCACTACAAGGTAATGAATAAACTTCTGCCACTCCAGAGCAGCGCAGATGGAAAATCGGGAACTTGAGGGTCTTTGTTTTCCCTTGTATTCAAAAATAAATTACTCCTGCCACCTGAAATTGTCTATATATCGACACTTCTGTGCATCCTTATGCTCCCATGATCCTGTCTGATCTCATAAATTGAGCAGCCACCAGTCTTTAGGGGTTCAGGAATCTCCAAAGCAAAGTTCCCTTACTCAGATATACTAAATGCAGATATACTCAATGCAGAGACAAACACAAAGTAACACAGATATGAGCATTTAAACCAAAAAATGACCTGAAGAATAGTGGTAAAGCCTCATTTATAGAGTGGCCAATGCTCTTATTTTCTGGGTAGAGGGAGATCAGATTCTATAACATTCTCAATCTGACAGACTTAGTTCCATATTTCTTAATTCCCAGGAGAATGCTTCCACAGTCTCCAGACTGCAGGCTGGATGAGATCTCTCTCCTGTTGCTATTGGCCTGGGCAGCAATAAAAAGAAATTCTTGGGAGCAGAAAGAAAGGACAGCCACGGGAATCTGACTTTGCAGGCCACTGATAATAAAGCACTTATTTGGAAATAGGGTAAGGAACAGCAGTGATTTGATAGGAAATTGGAAGGACACTTCTAGCCCTGCTAAAAATATTTTAATGTCTTTTTATGACCAGAATAAGTAATAGAAATAGAGCAAATATTAACAGTGAAAAGAAGAAGATTGCCAAGGTCTGTAGGGAGAGAGGATATCCTCTGACTTACAACTACAGTGAGAAAAAAACCAGAGAAGCTGCTTGATATATAAGTTCTTCTTGCTTTGGTTGAATACTTAGATCATCTACGAGGACCTGCTACCATTATTTCAACACAAGTTGAAGATTTGACTGCAGACATCCTTTTCAAGGCAAATTATTCTGTGACCCTCAGTAATCTGCCACCATGTAGCAGACAGTTGTACAGGCTACTACCAAACATAATGTACCTTCATTTGATAACCACTAAGTGAACACTAAGTGCTTGATAATGCAAATTCACAAATCTTAACCTTGGTTTTTTTATACTCATCTTTTTCATAATTTTTTTGCCAGAACTCACCATAATTTTCAAAAATTAAATTATATGTCAGATGTTAAAACTATTTAAACAAGATCAACGACACTAGTCAATAATTTGGTACAGACAGTGGAGATTAACTCAACAAACAGATATCACACTGAGAACTGTGGACAAACAGAACATATTACCTAAATGGAAGAAACCCCTCCAAAAAACCACACAGCAACACTGTTACTGTTGGTTAAAGTAGCTGTAAATCTTTCATCGGCTCAAGACAGCAGAATTATAGTTCAAATCCCTATGTCAAGAAATACCTTCCTCCAGTAAAAGAGTTCTTAATGATATGATGGCACAGAAGTTTACTATTAGGACTGAGGAACAGCACTTGTACAATAACAGTATAAACTCACAGAGCACTAAAATCCTCATTTGACAGCTCCTAAGTCCCTATCTAAGAACTACACTGTTCATGGTCTGAGCCCAGGTTTGCATGTTACATTGAACTTATTCCAAAATTCAGTTTTCTCAGTCTCCTGACATCTATCCCTTTCATCCACAATTCCTTTTTACTGTCATTGTTTAAATAAGA